AGGGAGGATGAACAGAATGAAGGGAGGATGAACAGAATGAAGGGAGGATGAACAGAATGAAGGGAGGATGAACAGAAAATTGAAGGTTTAAAAGCATGTCATTTACTATTCACATCGTGGTGAAATTTCTAGTTTCCTTCTTTTATTGATTTCTATTTCCATTGCATTGTGATTAGAGAAGATACTTCATATAAAGTCAGTCTTTTAAATTCATTGAGACTTGTTACGTGACCTAACATATGGACTACCCTGGAGAACCGTGCATGTGCACTTGAGAAAGAGAAATGAGCATTTTGCTGTTTTAAGGTAAAATGTCCTTTATAAATCAATTAAGTTTATTTGATTTACAGTGTTGTTCAAAACCTCTATTTTCTTATTGGTTTTATGTCTAAATTCTTCTATTATTGAAATGGGGTAGGAGTTCCCTAACTATTCTTGTAGAAACAATTATTTCTCCTTTTGTTTTATCGGTTTTTGCTTCATAAACTTTGGGAATCTGATGTTAGGTGTGCATAGGTCTATGTTGCTAAATCTTCCTCATTAATTGCCCCTTTTATTTACACATGATGTCCTTCTTTGCCTCTTATAACGGGTTTTCCCTGAAATTGTATGCTGTCTGATATTTGTGTAGGCACTCCATCCCTCTAATTGCCTCTATTTGCATAGGCTATATTCTTTCATTCCTTTCTTTCTCCTTATTTGAGTATTTGGCACAAAAGTGAATCCCTTCTAGACATATTATAGTTGAAGAAGGTTTTTTATTATTTTTGCAATCACTGCCTCTTAATAAGGAGGTTTTAAATCATTTACATTTAAAGTAATTACTAATAGGAAGGACTTCCTTCTGCCACTCTGCTATGTTTTCTATATGCCGTATTTTAAAGGTCTATAGTTGGCCAGGTATGGTGGCTCATACCTGCAATCCCAGCACTTTGGGAGGCAGGTGGATCACCTGAGATCAGGAGTTTGAGACCAGCCTGACCAACATGAAGAAACCCCATCTCTACTAAAAATAAAAAAAATTAAAAAATTAGCTGGGTGTGGTGTCACATGCCTGTAATCCCAGCTACTCAGGAGGCTGAGGCAGGAGAATCACTTGACCTCAGGAGGCAGAGGTTGTGGTGAGCCAAGATTGTGCCATTGCACTGCAGCCTGGGCAACAAGAGCGAAACTCTGTCTCAAAATAAATAAGTAAATAAAAAAAAGTCTGTGGTTTATATGAAGATTTAGTCTGTGGCATACAGTTCTATGAATTTTGATGAATACATAAAGTCACATAGCTGTTATTATCACCAGAAAGATTTTATTGCCCTTAAAAAGATCTGTGCTTCATCTGTCCATCTTCCTTTCCTTCCCTAAACCCATAACAAAAACCAATATTTTTACTTTCTCCATTGTTTTGCCTTTTTCAAAAAGACATATAATTGGATCATACAATATGGAGCTTTAGGAGATTACTTTCTCTCACTTAGCAATACATCTTCATAGGTTTGCTACGTCCTTTTTTTGGTTTACTAGGTGATTTCTATTTTGTCACTAAATGGTCTTTTATATTATCCAGTCACTTAGAGAAGGCCATCATAGTGGCTTTTAGTCTTTGGTAAATACATACAAAGCTGCTACACATATTTGCATTCAGGTTTTTGTGTGGACATACTATATCATGCTGTTCGGACAAACACCTAAGAGAGGGATGACTGCATTATGTCATGGAATACTTACCCTGGGCTGCTTTAACAATGTTCCATAAAGATGAAAAAAAGAGTAATTTATTATCTCACAGTCCTGAGGCCTTGAAGTCCCAAATCAAAGTGTCAGCAAGATTGGTTCCTTCTGAGGGATCTGAGGGAGACTCAGTCCTTGCTAGCTCTATCCACGCTGTTACAAGACATGGTTTCATTATTTTTAATGACTGCATGTTATTCCATGGTGTATGTGCCACATTTTTGTTATCCAGTCATGGTTGATGACTTGTAGGTTAGTTCTATGACTTTGCCTTTGCTACTGTAAATAGTGCTGGGATGAACAAAGGAGTGCAGGTGTCTTTTTTAATATAATGATTTATTTCCCTTTGGGTAGAAGCCAGTAGTGAGACTGCTGACCCAACTTCCAGTTCTAGTTTTAGTTATTTGAGAAATCTCCATACTGTTTTCCATAGAGGCTGAATTAATTTACATTCCCACCAATAATATATTACCATTCCCTTTTCTGTACATCCACATCAACATCTGCTTTTTTAGAAAAAGTTTTGAATAACAGGCATTCAGATTACTGTAAGATGATAGCTCACTGAGGTTTTAATTTGTATTTTTCTGATGATTAGTGATTTTGAACACTTTTTCATGTGTTTGTTGGTGTTTCTTCTTTTGAGAAACGCCTGTTACTATCCTTCGCTAAGTTTTCAATGATGTTGTTTCTTTCTTTTTGAGTTGGATTCCTTGTAGATTCTGGTTACCAGTACTTTGTCAGATGCATAATTAGCAAATACTTTCTCTCATTATGCAGGCTTCTGGTTAATCTGTTGATTATTTCTTTTGCTGTGCTGAAGTTTTTTAGATTAATTAAGTCCCATTTGTCTGTTTTTGGGCTTATCCCATTTTCTTTATGTGGCTTTACCATTTATTCTTTGCCTAGGCAAATGTCCAGAAGAATTTTCTCTAGGGTTTTTCCCCCCTAGGATTTCTATAATTTCAGGTGTTTCAGTTAAGTCTTTAACCCATCTTGGGTTGAGTCTTGTATATGGTGAGAAATAGGGGTCCAGTTTCATTCTTCTGATTATAGCTAGCCAATTTTCCCAGCACCGTTTATTGAATAGGGAGTCTTTATCCTATTGTTAATTTTTGATAGCTTTGTTGAAGATCAGTCAATTGCAGGTTTGTGGCTTTATTTCTGCATTCTCCATTCTGTTCCACTGATCTATGTGTTCATTTCTGTACTGGTCCCATGCTGTTTTAGTTACTATAGACTTGTAGTATAATTTGAAGTCAGGTAATGTGATGCTTCTAGATCTGTTCTTTTTGCTTAGGACTGCTTTGGCGTGTTGGGCTCCTTTTGGGGTCAATGTGAACTTTAGGATACTTTTTTCTAATTCTGTGAAGAATTATGTTGGTATTTTGATAGGGATGGCATTGGACCTGTAGCTTGCTCTAGGTAGTATGGTCATTTTAATGATATCGACTATTCCAACCCATGATTATGGGATAGTTTTCCATTTGTTTGTGTCATCTGCAATTTCTTTCATTATTCTCCCCCTCCGCCTCCTGACTAATGTGCTTCCCATGTGGACCTCCTCCATAGCATGGTGTGTTTTTCCTCTTGAGATTTGTTAGTATAACAAACACTCTTTTCAATGGCAGTCACCTCCTAATGTGTTGGCCATGTCATACCTAAATAATATTAAAACCTAAGTTTTAAAACAAGGGCTTGTAAAGCACAAAACTGGGCAACCAAGAGCAAGGATGTCTAGAGCAGGACAAGAGGACAGATGAACACTTACCGTAAAGATCTGTGTGTTACACATTAACAACCACCAGGAATCATTGATGATGGACAAGACACTGGACATCCAAAAAGAAGAAAACTCAACAAGGTGACATTAATCAGTCTTCATTACCATACCTGGAGAAGTAACTGTGCAGCACAAGGCAGAGGACAGTGGTAGGCATGAAAATGCAGCACTCAGATCTCTTACTGCTTTGAGGTGAGTAATTGACGGACAGCCCCAGCTGCTACTGCTCTCTTCATCTGCCACCATGTCTGTGCAGAGGTCATGCTTCCCTCAGGTTGATCCCAGCCAATGACTGATTGCTGCTTGAATACTAAGGCAAGCCCATCTTGAGACATGGGTCTCCTCTGATGTGACTAGTTCAAGCCTTGTCTTTCAGCATTTGTCAGTGCTGTACTTCATTCTGAGTCTCTTCCTCCACAAGCCTCCTTTCTTTTCTCCTTCCTCGGAGCAGTCAGTCCTGGATCATATTCTGATGTTGTTCTTGCCACTTGGGCTACCTGCCATTTCCCCTCACAGACATTGTTCCCTATACACTGTTGATTATCTAATCTTGTGTAGGCATCTGCTTTTCAGAGGTTCCAAACTAACTAACTATAGTTTTGGTTTGAACAGTTGAGGAAATGATAGAAATGAGTAGAGATGAGGATGAAAATAATGAAAAGAAAGGACTTTTTTTTCTTTCTTAATAGATGTTACTAACAAATGAACACTGTAATTAGATTCCATTAGAAAACATTATGTAGAGAAAGATACCCACGTGATTTAAATGACAACATTTAGCATATACCTAAGTTTTTATCTCTTGAAACTATGCAATGATGATAATAATATTAGACGTCAATTTGAAACATGTTTGGGAAAAAGTAGTTTTTCAAAATGTTACTTGTCAGAGATAAATAAAATGTTGGAAAATCACTTTTCTAGACCTCTGCTACCTTTGTGGGAGCTAAGGAAGAATGAGGCACAGAGTTATAAATCTGGAATATTCATGGCTAATTACACTTCATTACTAGATAGATCTAGGGCCCAGCCCCCAAGCAAAGACTCAAGGGAGGTAAGGTGAACCACAGGGATTAATTTATGGTGGCCCAATTTTTAGGAATGAAAGTACCTAGATCTAAAGTACATCTTGCTCAATGTCCAACCCTAAGTTCCAAATCCAAGCGCAGATCATACTACTTCAACACTTGGAAAGGCCACCAGCAGTACTACCAGAAAAACTGGCTTGCTCTTCCATTACAGGATTAATCGGTGTGCCATTCATAGGATGCAAACAGAGAATTTAACTCCAAAATGCATTTGGAATCTGACCAACAGAGAATCTGAGTGTCAGGAGATCCTGAAAGAGACAATTATATCAGAAAAACACAATTGCAGGAATCAATGAAACTAAATATGAAACAGTAACTCTGTCCTTCTTACAGTTCCTAAGGGATTGTGCAACACGGCTGAGTAGAGAGAGAGAGAGAGAGAGCAAGAGATCAATCCAGCAGACTTACAGATTTTCATGGAGTTTTAAATATATAACACTTTATTCTTTCTCTTGTTATCATGGTAATAAACATTTAACTCTTGCTAAAAGGAAGTCTTGGGCCTGAGCAACCGTGGATGACATGGAGACCAGTTGTCCCAGTCTGAGCCTGTAGCACCTGTGTCTCCTCAGTCCTGGTTAAGAAGGGATTTCCACCTTGGGAGAGAATAGAAAACCAGAGATATGGGAAGATGCAAAATGTACAGGGCACATGGTTTTTTGTCCCAGGGCCACTGTGGTGTGATTCCTGTTAGGTATTCCCCTCACAACAACACTGGCATGTGCTGCCAAGGAGTCAGGGACTGGGGATCAGGGATTCTAGGCAAGGCATCCTAAGGAAATTTGAAATTATAAACTCTTACCTCACAATGTAAATGTAAAGAGGAAAGTGTTTCATGATTGTAAACTGTAAGAAAAAGGATTTGAAAATGAATAATAAAATCCAGTAACTATTGAGTACCTTAGAGAAAATCTTGTTGAAATGTCGACATTATAGAGAGTTACAGAGAGGAGAAGAGCGATGCCCATTATGTGAAATGGAAGGTGCATATCTGAGCAAACAAGTCTGTTGAGCCTCCTCCTTCACTTTAGAGAGGCAAATCCGTAGACCCACCCTACTTAAAAAATCAGCTCACAAGGATTGCTAAAGGCAGATTTAGGGGCAACATGAAGAACGGCAGATCTAGGGCTCCTCACCTCAATCCAAAACCCACCACGGCTCCATACACTGACGCCGACAGTTGTAGTAGCAACACTTCTTGTCCCCCTTGCAACTCTTATCGCGCCAGCACATAGGTAAGAGGGTGAAGGGGCACTCAAGATCAAACTCTGGGCAATATCCCGGTTTCTGTGTAGCTGGAAAAAATGCCATAGGTCAGGAGGCTGAGGCAGGAGAATTGCTTGAATCCGGGAGACAGAGGTTGTAATGAGCTGAGATCTTGCCACTGCACTCCAGCCTGGGCAACAGAGCGAGACTCCATCAAAAAAATAAAAAATAAAAAAGCCACAGGGAGAGTGGGCACCAAAGTGTGATTTCCAGGCGTTAGGGCCAGGTCATCCCATGGACTCCTCAGAGGAAACGCTCCCAACCCCAACAGCATCCAGGGTCGCCAACGCCCTACCCACACGCCTCAGGATTCCAGGCTGGGTCATGCAGAGGCAAAGGAGGATGGTCACAGAGAGTAGAGTGAGGCTGCTCAGCTTCATAATGCAAGAAAACGGTGTGGGGGCACCTGGAGGCTGGGCCTGTGTATGTCAGCTCTGGTGCGGCCTCACAAACAGACGGCGCTGTGGCTCACGGGACTGAAGGTCAGAGGTGCCTTCGCTTGACCCGGAAGAACCAACTGTTTCCCTTCATCTCCCGGAAGAGACAACGTGAAGCAACTGGGATGTAACTTGGAGAGCCCTCATGGACTGCCTCTCTTCAGGGTGTTGCAGGACTGTCCTGGCTCTTCATCATTCTTACTTTATCCGGCAGATTTTGAGGCAAGAGAACGCCATTGTCTTTGCCGGAGCCTGCATCAGGGTCTGACGAGCTCCCCTCTTCCCACTGTGTATCCGGAATAATTGAAACCTACCTCTCTAAGCATTTGAGGTGTTTACTTTTACCACATTAACATTAAAACACACAGGACACAAAGACAAAGCAAGATAATGTGCTAGTCACAAGATAATTTCTAGATTTACGAAAAATTTCTAGATTTTTGTGCACCACAGACCTCAAGTTTAACTCGTGAAAAAAAATTGTCTCCTTTAATTCATGTCTTAATGTTTCCTCGACTGTGTAAAAACTTCATTAGTTGATAAAGTCAAAACTCCATCTTGAGGCCATTTTGGAATGTTAACTCCAGGCCAAATAAATCTTCATGCTGTCTCTATACTCCTCTCTCTGTTCTACTTGCTTGGTAGCTAAAAGCATATAAGATTTTAGCAACGGTAAGAAATAGGTTTACTAATGAACGTGGGAGAATTGGGACCTGATATGAAAGAGAGATGACGAGGAAAAACCTCTATGGAGCAGGCACTATATTTAACACCTTTCTTCTAGCACAACCTTCAGGCTACCTCTATACCTTGCATGTTTCTATTGTTCAACTCTGCCGCTCTTTTCTAGCTCTGATTTGGCATGTCCTCGCTGAGTTCCAGTCCAAAATCCTTTCCAATGGGCTTAATATGCCAAAATCTTAAAGTGTTGGCACTTTTATTCTCAAGATGATTGTTTTAGCCTACACACTAACACAGGATGATTCTATTTCCAAAGCAGTTTAATATTGCTGCAATTTTATGGTAACAAAACATGACAGGGATATTACACAAAAGGAAAACAATGTGCCAATCTTGCCATTAACAGTAAGGCAAAAGTCCTGAACAAAATATTACTAAGTGAATATTTTCATATATAAAAATGGTTATACATCATGCACAAGTAAGATTTTCTGTCAACAATGTATGGTTATTTTAACATTTAAAATTAAGTCAGTAGAATACTTCTCATTAATAGAATACAGGGGGAGCTGGTATGATTATCTATATTGGCCATAGAATATGTGAAAAAAATCACTTGTCTCTTCTTGTTAAAGAGAAAATAAGGACATAGAATTAAAAGTTCACCTATTTAATTTGATAGCAAGTCTCTGCAATTGCAACAGAGGAACTATTTTCACAATGACAGAGTAAAATCTGCTCTTCCATCAAAGTAGTGAGAATACATGTTGAGTATCCATTATGTAACAAGCTTCAGAGCAGAAATGTTTTGGATTTTTCAGATTTAAAAAAATCTTTTCATACATATAATGATGTATCTTGGGGATGGGACCCAAGTGCAAATGCAAAATGTATTTGTGTATCACATACACCTTATATACATGGAATATTTATAGTAGTTTCCTGCACGAAACAAAGGTTGTGTACATTGAGCCAACAGAAGGAAAGCTGTCGCTATCTCAGCCACACGTGACCACTTTGTGGTCATTTGACATCACCATCCTTCCTGACTCTGCATTATATGCTACCATGAAGCAATTAATTCTTACAGTTTTTTACACATAAGTACTTAATGGTTAAAAATTTGGCATACCATTAATACAGTGAAAATAATGCATTCAGAGTGCTTAAGCAGCACAGTAACACAACTTGAATATCTGGATCAGCTGTTAATCATCAGCAATGACATAGTAGCAGGTTTTGATCTCCACCTACAATGCTGTGTTCTGGTTAAAAGGTTATAGCACTCCGTTGTTTTTTTTTTTTTTTTTAAGGTTAGAAGAGACATCAGAAATAGTTGAGGGACCAGAATATCAGTCCTCTAAGGATAAAGAGATATTGTGCTGGATAATTTAAAAAATGTTTTTTTCCAGAGTCACCTGTCTCTTTTGTCCTAGAAATCCCTCTTTGAATTTTTTAACTGACATGACTTTTTTCCTTAAGAATGCATGCTGCTAATAAACCCATCACATATTTTCACCATGCCGTCTACAGGCAGTTTTTCTGTGGGGTTCGTAGTGTCATTTTCATCATTTTGAATGAGACCAATCACATGAAATCAGGAGTGATGTTTTCCACTTGTGACTTCATGTTGGCCCTCAAAGACTTCAGGATTTTGGAGTATTTTGGATTTTGTTTCTTGGTTAGGGATTCTCACCCTGTACTCACAAATGTAAAAGTCTACTTTTTTCAAGTAAGTCAATCTCATTTACAATAACTAATAAAAACCCTAAGGATACATCAGTGACAAGGGCAAAGAGAAATTCTTGGAAGCAGCAAGAGATAAGTAACTCAAAATGACTAATAAATAAGCTTAACAGCTGATTTATCATTAGAACTATGCAAACCAGAAGATAGTAAGAGAACATATTAAAAGTGATGAAAGTGGCTCAAGCCTGTAATCCCAGCACTTTGGGAGGCCAAGGCGGGTGGATCACAAGGTCAAGAGTTCAAGACCATCCTGGTCAACATGGTGAAACCCCATCTCTACTAAAAATACAAAAAATTAGCTGGTTATGGTGGCGCGTGCCTGTAATCCCAGCTACTCAGGAGGCTGAGGCAGGAGAATAGCTTGAACCCAGGAGGCAGAGGTTGTGGTGAGCCGAGATCGTGCCAGTGCACTCCAGCCTGGGTAACAAGAGTGCAACTCCATCTCAAAAAAAAAAAAAAAAAAGTAATGAAAGAAGTATCTATCTACCAAGAATTTTGTATCTTGGCAAATCTATCCTTTACAAGTTAGGGAAAAGTTAAGACACTCCCAGATATATAAATACTTCATGTTTTTCACCATTAGGCTTCCTATACATGAAATACTGACATGATGGCATATGTAGAAAACGTATAAGAATCTACATAACCCCAAAATATTATTAGAGCTAATAAACTCATCAAGGTGCAGGACAAAATATCAACCTATACCTCTCAATTGCATCATGAAAAATATCCATTTACAATAGCATCAAAAATTATGAAATTTATAGGAATTTATTTAAGAAAATAATGGCAAAACTTGTGCACTTAAAACAACAAATCATGATCAAAGAAATTAAAGAAGACATAAAAATAGAGAGCCATTCCATGTTTGTGGATTGAAGACTCAATATTGCTAGGCAGGCAATTTCCATATTTTATCTAAAAACTCAATGGAATTCTTATAGAGTTCCAGATGACTGTTTGTCGAAATTGGCATGTTAATCCTAAAATTCCTGTGTCAATGCCTAGGACCCAGAATAGCCACCATAATCTTGAAAAAGAGTGCAAAGTTAGAAGACTCATACTTCCTTATTTCAACACTTACTACAAAGCTACAGTGTCGAGACAGTGTGGTACTAGCATAAGTTTAGACACATATATCAAAGGAATAGAATAGAAGAACTAATGTGGAGACAAACAGTGGAATACTATTCAGCAATAAAATGAACTGCTGATACGTACAAAACAGAATGAATCTCAAAAACACTGAATAACGGATACCAAAGGTAATGTTATTACATAATTTCATCATATAGAGATTAAAAACAGGTGAGTTATGAGTTTCTAGAAGTCAGTATAACATTTGCCCCAAAGGACTGGGACTGAATTTGAAAGGAGCATAAGGCAAGATGAATGTTCCATATGTTCATCTAGGCATTGTGCAATCACATGTATGTGTTTGTTAAATCTCATTCAAGCAAATGCATGAGGTCTGTGCTTTTCTTTATATGTATTTCACCTTCATTTCAAAAGAAGACATAATGAAACATTATTTTATTATGATTACTTCCAAATTTGTTGTTCTGGCACCTTTTAAAGCACTGGGGCTGAGATAATCTCATTTAATATCTCTAAGCACCTCTATAAGATGGTTATTATTATCCCCACATTAAGATGAAGGAACGCTGCATCAGAGACCTCACTTCCCAAGACTGTGCAAGCCATGGGAACCATAGTTCATGCAAATTCTACCACAGCACACAGCATTTATGACTCTGGCTCTCTTGCTTATTTACATGTTAATTTAGCTTTCCTTCCCTGCACAATCAGCAATATGTCAGGGAATATATGTCTCTCCACATATAGAGAAGAGAATTTATTCAGCAGACTGCAGCAGGTAATTCTAGCTTTCCTAATGCTAAGGCCTCTAAGCCCATCATAGCCTCTCTTTAACTGCTGGGTTGGTGAAATAAGGCAGGTGACTGAGGACAGGGCCCCTGTGCTCTTGGGAAGGATTCAGTGGAGAGAGACAGGATTCTTATGACACTATGACCAAGTCTCTTATCACACACATGCAGGCAATATTTACACCTCATAGAGAAGATTCTTTCTTTCTTTCTCTCTCTTTCTTTTTTTCCTTCTTTCTTTCTTTCCTTCTTTGTATCTCCTCTTTCCCTCTTCTCCCTCTCATTCCTTCTCCCTCTCTTTCTTTTTAAGGAAGCTCTACAATATTGAGTCAGCATGTATTATGAAGTTAACTGTGTCAAAGTTTTCCATGGTGCAGATGTGGGATTTAAGCTTGTGGGGGAGAAAATATTTAATTAAAGATATACTAGTTCTTACAACAGAGCTAGAATGGAATCCAGATTTCTTATTCCCAGGCTAGTGGTTTCCCTACTCCTCTCCGTTGGCGTCTTCTCCTGGATGTTTGGCTTTCCCTGGAAGCATCCTTAGAATAGAGGGTGAAGAGATGTAAAAGAAATAGCATTTCTATTATTAACACACCACCTGCCCCAAGACTCTAGCCTAGTCCTCTGGTCTTTCCATTCACAGATGACATTTTTAAATCAGCTCACTCTTGCTGGAGTGGTGGAGACTTGACATATCACTCTTTGGTGTAACTGCTTCTAAGTGAATGCTGAAGGAGTAGAACAATTCTTAAGCTAAGTGAAGGGGTGTGCTGCTGTGGACTTGTGGATTATTCATGGCACTAGTAGGTCAGGGACTTTTCCAGGGCTTGTGGCAATACATTTTCTCTGTTCTTTCTGTGATTCTGTTAGGTTATGGGGTCCTATTAGTACAGAGGTCATGAGAGACTTTAGGGTTAGCATCAGGAAGTAGATTTGTGCCTGGCAGGGTAGCAACACCCTGTTTTTAGTGTTGGATTTCTATCAGTACATCTAGAAATGTGGCTTTGATTGCTATTCTCCCTAATGCTTCAAAAATATCCCATTTTTTTCTTCCAAAATCATTTTGATCAGAAATGCTTTCAGACCCTTGACCCACTAAGAATTCACAGATCACCAGAGCCAAAAGCAGATATAGCAAAAAATGATCTCTTTATTGGAAGTTTGAAGGACTCTAGGTTTAGAAAGCCTAATGCAAGGAAGCATGAGCAGCTGGTGTCATCCATCAACCAAGGATCTGGGACCATGTGGGTGTCTGGATCTCAGAAACATCATAGACTTCACTGAGGTCAGGTGACACCTAAAGAAAAAGACAACCAGATATGTGAGGATAGTGGGGAGGAGGGGTGAGCATGGGACCCTTGTCTCCTTTAGCTCCAATTTTGCCAACCTCCTGATCATGAGGATACTAGACCACTAGTTGTCAGCTGGGACCATTGTTTCTGCTACTTCCCTCTCTTCAGGTACAGCATTACTTATTGCGAAGGGGCACGAAAGAACCGTCTCCCCAGTCCGGGTCAAAGTTTTCCTCTCCTGATATTGCAAGTGTCAAATTAGCACCCGAGATCTCTCACCATCTCCTGTGCCCCCCTTTCCACTTCCTTTTCACAATCTGAACAGGAATCCTTCTTTCTACTCATATCCTTCTTGTATAATGAGAGAGTGGATCGCTAGTCTTTGGGCTTGTAGTCTCTGAAGGAGCAAAGATGAACTCTAACAGTATACAAGAACATTCATGTGTGTGCATAAAGAAAATATTAACTGCTGTAATATTGCATACTATATGAGAAAGAAATTGAGGTTTACTAAAGTATAAGAATTGATGTGTATGCCATAAACTGGTAAGTATGCATATATAGCAATGCATATTCAAAAAAACCTATAGCAGGCAGGCATGTATAAAAATATTACTGAAGAATGCTCAATTAAGAACAGGAATTCTAGGACCCAGTGATAGTCCAAGCATCCTTTCCTGCTACTACCAGGTCCTCTACTCACCAGGAAATGGTGCTCATCTTCCCACTACTTGTAATACAACCCTTCTACTGATGTGAACAAAGGTTACCAGTCCTACCTTGTTCCTGGAGAGTCCCCAACTTTGGGCCAGGGACCTCTCCTATTTGGTAAGAAAAGCAAACTTACCTTGCTATTGGTCTAGCTTTTCAAGTGGTTGCTGAACGATAAGTCTATTTTGGTCTTTATCATGATGTTGTGCCAAGTGATGATCATGGCTAACTTCGTGCTCTATAATTACAATATTATGTGCTCCACTGGATTCCTCTTGGTGTCTGCCTTTTTGGTCACGAATGAGTAGGTCTTTTTCTTTATCTGCAGATAGGCCAGACTTTCCTTTTGCGTCTTGGCCAGACCGTTGATCTTGACTAGGAGTTGTTATCTGTTTTTGAGGCTTGTCATGTATTTTATCTTCAGTTTTGTTAGAAGAACTGCCTTTGGATGCATCTTTCTGTATGCCCTTTTCTCCATGGTTAGGTCGTCTTTCTGCTGTACCTGAAGATCGGGATGACGTTTTATTTGCCCTATGGCCATCTTCTTGACTAGGAGTTGTTACCTGTTTTTGAGACTTGTCATGTATTTTATCTTCAGTTTGGTTAGAAGTACTGCCTTTGGATGCATCTTTCTGTATGCCCTTTTCTCCATGATTAAGTGGTCTTTCTTCTGTACTTGAACATTGGCAGGACCTGTTATGTGCCTTCTGGCCATGCTCTTGATCTTGATTGGGATTTCTTTTCTGGTTTTGATTCTTGGAAAAAACGTCTTTGGATCCACATTGGAGTCTGTCTTCTTGTGCAGAACAGAGTGGGGTTTGCACTTTACTTGAATGTTTCTGTTTCGTTTCATTCACATTTGGGGAACTCCCTTTATTTTGAAGAGAATTTTGAGTCTCAGGTTTTTTGTTATGTACTGGATCTTCAGTTTGGAGGACAGGACTGCTTTGGGATCCACCTTGTGTTCTATTTCTTTGTGTACCAGAGACTGAATCTTGTTCTTTACCTAGTCCAAGAGCCAGTAGGCTTTCTTTTGTGTTTGAATCTTGACTGGATATTCCCTTTCCAGATGTGCTATTTCCCTGATCTTGAGAAGGATTTTGTGTCCCATGAGGAGCGTGGCCTCCTTTATGGTGTATAATTAACACATGAAAATCACCTTTTGATTTACCATGTTCTCTGCTTTCTTGCTTGTGATTGAATGGTTCTTGACTTCCAGCTGCATGTTTTTCTGATTTTATCGTTTTATTTTGGGCATTCAAGTCATATTGCTTACTTTTTCGGGTCTGGTCATGACCGTGGACGTCTACATGATATATGTGTTCAATATAAACACTGCCTTTGGATTCAGCATGCTGTTTGTCTTTTTGTGCAGAATACTGCTGGCCCTTTTGTCCATGTGGAAATTGGGAAGATTCACTTGGTAATCGGCCTTTTGATCCACCTGGTAATTGATAATAGAAATATATGCATTCCTTCTCTCCAAAGCTCCCTTGCAATGCCTACCTCCCACCCTTTCCCAGCAAACTGCTGATGTTTCTGGAAAGGTTGAAGCTTTGGATGGAGAAAATCAGTTCTCTTTAATGAGAAGAATCTGTGTCTGAACAGGTTGCTGTTTGCACCCTGAATACCCTTAGAGGCCATTCTGCCTGAGCAGCTTTCCCCAAGGCTTACCCTCTCCACTCACCTTTTTGTCCCATCACAGCTGCTTGCTTCTCCAGGATGAGGAGCAGGGAAAGTACGAAGAAGATGATGGGCTTCATCTTGCTTGGAAAACCTTGTCTGAGAGCCGAGTGGATATCTTCGTTTGTATCTTCCTTGAGTGGGTGTACCATGGGTGGAGCTGAAATTTCAAAAGGCACTGCCCTTTCATAGCTTATTAATAAATGTCAGCTTCCTCACCCCTGCTCAGTGGGGGATAATATCAAAGTCCCCAGGGACTTAGCACGGGGACATAACGTCAAAGGCAATTTTTTTACTTCCCCAATCCCCAGCAAATTTTATCAGAACTTGCATATCATCATGCCAAGTTGCTTGTAGTTTACAGAAGAAATTCAGTCTAGAGTGGGAAGGAGACTAGCTTCAGGTTACAAAAGTAACTGGTGGCTGGCAATGCCTTCTTATTCTAAACGTGAGTTTCCTTTCTGATGCAATGATTTAAAAATCCAATTTTAGATATAACTCTGTATTTTGTCTTGTTTTAAAATAATCCTAAGACACATTCTGTTTTACTTGAAAAGGAGAAATCATAGAAGTAGAATGACACATAAGAGAAAGAAACTTTATGGAAGCCAAAGAAAAAAGTTTCAACAAGTAAATGAGGTACACCAATGTCAAATGTACCTGTGAAGTTCATCACAATAAAGACCGACGTGTCAAAAGCTTTCTAATGTTACTTGCTGCTAGTAATGTTAATGAGAGACTAATACAGTTGTGTTGGGTTGTCCATTGAAGGATGGAGTCCAGCTGAAACCTTCTCAAGAAGTCTGATTTCATGGTTAGAATGAGCATTGAGGCTGTATCTGGAGGGTGAGATAACTCCAGAGATTTTTTTGAAAGGATGAGATAAATTTAACATATTTTTTATGGTGATAGAAACAACTGTTGGAAAAAGAAGTAAGAACATTGGTTTCCAAACTGGATTATTTGATTATATCTACCTAAATGACAAAATATATCTTTTAAATAAAAAAATTGCATACTTCTGTAATAAACTGGTAATCTCTCCAACAGGCTGTTAGAAATATTTGCCACTTTCAATGGATTAAATAATGTATTGAGAGTGGACCTAAAGCTAAAATTTTTACTTTGGGTAGAAGCGCAAGTTGTTTTTGTTTTTGTTATTGTTGTTGTTACAATTGTGAAAACTTCCTGAAAAGTCCAAGGAAAGTTTCTTACTTTGACTGGAAAAGACCTTATTCTGAACAGACCACAGGAGAAGCAGCAACATCTGAACGGTGACCCTCTATGCATTCAGAACACTGTGGAGGGTGGTTCTGGAGAAAGGATGGCTTGAAAACTTATTTTCAATTATTCTGTCTTAACCTTCCTGTAGCCAATGCTGTGTGAAAGGGGAGAAGGAAAAAGTCAGCCATAAGAAAAAGTGCTATGCCATCAAATGTAAAGCATGTGAGCTACATGGTTTCACTATGAGCCACTCTGAGATCTTACCAAGTTTATCTGTTTGCCCAAAGGGCAGTAAGTATTTCCTTATGGCAGACCCCAAAAGAGAAGAGTAAAATTTTCCTGAACACAAATTGATTGCTGTACCTGCTAATCGCTGTACTCTTCCTTACACTTCCCTTAAGGAAATACCAGGAGCTGTTCTGTTCCAGGATTACTGGAACAAAAAAGAGCCTGAAATATTAATCTTACTTATGGATCAAGAACAAAACTTTCAACTAATCTAGTGTCAAAGGCTACAGATAAAACAAAGGGGCACACGATTTGCAAAAACAAACCAGGAAAATGCAAACCAGGCGTAACCTGTGATTACGATACTCATATCATGACTGGGTTTAATGAAATTTGAAAAAAAAAAAGCATTTCAAAATAAAAAAAGAAATCTATTGATAAAAACGAAAGCAGAAATCGGTGATTTGGAAAGCATAAAAATGGTATAGTGCTGCACACATCTTAGATATCGTATTATGATTGGGAAAATACCAAATGATTAAAAAAAAAAAAAAAAACAAGGAAAAAACATTAGAAGATTTTCAAGTTCACCACATAGGAGAGGCCCTTGAGGTTGACACAGCTTATGTGCCCCTGTGGCAGCAGAGTGGTACTTAGTGTCTACACTAAGTACCTGAGAACTAGCCCTGTAACACCCTCTCCCACCACAGACACATCCATGGCCTGCCCAATGGCCCTTTGCTCCCAAAAAGTGCCTGAGAAACAGACTCAGAAGGTCCCCTGCTGGGCATGACACCATGCCGGCCCAGGTGCCAAGAGCCCATTTCCCAAACCTGAGAAATAGCCCATGGGCCATCCCTGTTGGGCATGTGGTCATCTTCCAGGTCTGAGAAACAGTCCCACAGACTGCCACTGGTGGTCACACCTGAAGGACAACCATGAAGCTCTATGCCTTCACCCTAGGTCTACAAAACATCTTCTTAGGACCGCTCACAGAAATGCTCCAAGCCTTCCATGCAGCCATGCAGCTGTGTCAAGTGCCTAAGAAACATCCCTCTTTCCTCTCTCATTCCCTTCCTCTCGTAGGCCATCTAAGCAACATTACACTCACATCTTGGGTCTGAGAAAAAGCCCAATAGGGCTTTTTGGGTCTGACTCTGGAAGACATGTCTTCAGACCAGTTGAGCACCTGCACTTCCATGGCCTGAGACCAAGAAACAGCGCCACAGCCCACTCCTAGCCTGTAGGCAAGCACACTGACTGAACAAACATGTGCGCATGCTTCCAGCCAGAATAACAGCACCCTGGCCCCAACGTCATTGAGTTATACCTTAATTGAATTACCTACCATGTGCATGCACACACCCCTGACCTGAGAATTAGCCCTGGAACCACAGCACTGGCAAAGCCATGCCACTGTATCAGCACACTTTCTCAAGTAGGGCACTGAGAAATACTCAAGTGCCACAAGCGTGGATTCTAGGTGAGGAAAGCATGTGGAAACAATACTGCTACCTACACCTAGAACAAAACCCAACAAACCCAAAATAAGTAACATCTAAAGCCCCATTCATAAAAATAAGTCTTTGCTTATGAAATCTACTCTATGAAATTGAAAGAGGCAACTTTTCCACCAGATGCAAACAATAATAGCAGAGAACTTCTCCTATCTTGGGAGAGAGAGAGAAATCCAGGTCCAGAAAGCTATAAGAATCTTAAATTCAACCCAAATAGATTCTCTCCAAGGCACATTTTAATCACATTACTAAAAGTCAAAAACAAAGAAAGGTTTTTGTTTGTTTGTTTGTTTTTGAGATGGAGATTTGCTCTCATTGCCCAGGCTGGAGTACAATGGCACGATCGTGGCTCACTGCAATCTCCACCTCCCGGGTTCAAGAAACTCTCCTACCTCAGCCTCCTGAGTAGCTGGGATTACAGGCATGTACCACCACACCTGGCTAATTTTGTATTTTTAGTAGAGACAGGGTTTCTCCATGTTGGTCAGGCTGGTCTCAAACTTCCAACTTTAGGCGATCCACCCGCCTCAGCCTCCCAAAGTGTTGTGATTACAGGCATTAGCCACCGTGCCTGGCCCACAAAGAAAAATTTTTTAAAGCAGCAAGAGAAAAATGTCAAGTCACATATAAGGTAATCCCCATTTGACTAACAGAATTTCTCAGCAGAAACCTTACCGGCCAGGAGAGAATGGCATAAGATACTCAAATTACTAAGAGAAAAAACTGTCAGCCAGGAATATCACACTCAGCAAAGCTATGCTTCAGAAATGAAGGAGAAATAAAATAATTCCAAGAGAAGCAAAAATTAAGGGAGGAGGGTGGCAGAACAAGATGGTGAAATAGAAGGCGCCAATGATTTCCCCTTCTCCCAGCAAGGTGGCCAATTTAACATGTATCTGCAGAGAAAGAGCACCTTCATAGGAACCAGAAAAATCAGGTGAGTACTCGCAGTAACTGATTTTAACTTGATGTCACTGAAAGAGGTGCTGAAGAGGTAGGAAAAACACTTGTATCACTGATGCCACTCTTCCCTCATCTTTCATCTCCCGGTTGCAGGTGTGCGGCATAGAGCATTTCTGTGCATGGGGGTGAGAGAGAGCACAGCAATTTTGAGTTAAAAGGTGGAGGGACTGAAGCTAAAGTATAGTTCTTTATTAGTTTTCTTTCTCTTATTTGTTTATGCAAGCAGTGTTCAGTTATTATCAGTTTAAATAATGGGTTATGAGATAGTATTTGCAAGCCTCGTGGTAACCTGAAACCAAAAAATACACAACATATACATAAGAAGCAAGAAACGAAATCATATCACCAGTGAAAAACACCTTCACTAAAAGGAAGACAGGAGGGAGGAAAGAAAAGGAGAGTACCTCAAAACAACCAGAAAACAAGAAAACGTCAGAAGTAGGTCCTTGCTTATCAATAATAACCTTGAATGAAAATGGAATGAACTCTCCAATCAAAAGACATAGAGTGGCTGAAAGATGAAAAAACAAGACCCAATAATTCATTGCTTAGAAGAAACATACTTCACCTAGAAAGACCTAATAGACTGAAAATAAAGACATAAAAAATTCCATGCCAATGGAAACCAAAAAAGTACAGAAGTAGCTATATTTATGTCAGACAAAATAGATTTCAAGACAAAAACTATAAAAAAAGACAATGTCACTATATAATGATAAACAGGCCAATTCAGCAAGAGGGTAGAACAATTTTAAATATATGTGTACCCAGTACTACAACACCTAGACATGGAAATTATTAGAGATGAAGGGAGAGATAGACACTCATACAATCATAGCTGTATACTTCAACACCCCACTTTTAACACTGCACACGTCTTTGTTGACAGAAAGTCAACAAAGATATATTGGACTTAATCAGCACTATAGACCAAATGGACTTGATAGATATTTACAGGATATCTGCAGAATACTCATTCTTTTCCTCAGCACTTGCATCGTTCTCAAAGATAGACTATATGTTAAGTCACAAAACAAGTCTTTCAACATCCACTAAAATTGAAAACACAGTGGAGCTTCTTCCATGAGCACAATGGAATAAAATTAGAAATAAATAACAAGATGAATTTTGGAAACTATACAAATACATGGAAATTAATCAATATGCTCAACAATGACCAGAGGGACAATGAATAAATTAAGAATAACATTGAAGTTTCTTGAAACAAATGATAATGGAAGCACACCATACCCAAACCTCTGGGATACAGCAAAAGCAGGGTGAAGAGGAAAGTTTATAGCTATAAGTGCATACATCAATAAAGACAAAAAACTTCAAACAAACATCCTAAAAATACATCTTAAAGAACAAGAAAAGAAAGAGCAAACTAAACCCAAATTAGTTGCTGAAAAGAAAAAATAGAGTGTCACTATATAATGATATATATCAGCTGGGCATGGTGGCTCACACCTGCAATCCCAGCACTTTGGGATTACGAAGTGCTGATCAGATCAGTAGATCACTTGAGGTCAGGAGTTGGAGACCAGCCTGGCCAACATGATGAAACTCCATCTCTACTAAAATACAAATATTAACTAGGAGTGGTGGCATGCATCTGTAATCCCAGCTACTTTGGAGGCTGAGGCAGGAGAATCACTTGAACTCGGGAGGCAGAGGTTGCAGTGAGCCAATATTGCACCACCTCACTCCAACCTAGGTGACAGAGCAAGACTCTGTCTAAATAATAATAATAATAAAGATCAGAGCAGAAATAAATGAAATATGAAGAAAGCAATACAAAATATCAAAAGCTGTTTTTTTTTTAACGTTAGACAAAATTGACAAATCCTCAGCCAGATTAAGAAAAATGAGAGACGATTCAAATAAATAAAATTGGAAATGAAAAAGGAGACATTACAACTGGCATCACAGCAATTCAAAGGATTATTAGAGGCTACTGTAAGTAATTATTTGCTAAAATGTTGGAAAATCTAGACGAAATAAACAAATTCCTAGACTCATACAGCTTAACCAAGATTTAACCATGAGGAAATCCAAAACCTGAAGAGACCAAGAACAGGTAATGAGATGGAAGCCATAATAATAATCTTCTCATTTAAGAAAAGCCTGGGCTGGGCACAGTGGCTCATGCCTGTAATCCCAGCACTTTGGGAAGCCAAGACAGACAGATCACCTGAGGCCAGGAGTTCAAGACCAGCCTGGATGACATGGTGAAACCCCATCTTGATTAAAAATACAAAAGTTAGCCAGGCGCCTGGAATCCCAGCTACTCATGAGGCTGAGGCAGAAGAATTGCTTGAATTTGGAAGGTGGAGGTTGCAGTGAGCTGAGATGATGCCACTACACTCCAGCCTAAATGACAGGGCAAAACCCTGTCTCCAAAAAAAAAAAAAAAAAAAAAGGAAAAGAAAAGCTTCAGACCTGATGACTTCACTGATGAATTCTACAAAACATTTAAACATTTAAGTAACTAATACCAATTCTACTCAAACTATGCCAAAAAATAAAGCAGGAGGAAATACTTCCAAACTCATTCTATGAGGCCAGATAGATACCTATAAGGCCACCCTCATATCAAAGCCAGAAAAACACACATTAAGAAATATCTCTGATGAACATGAATGCAATAATCCTTAACAAAATATGAGCAAACAAAGTTAAGCAATACATTAAAAAGATAATTTATTATGACCCAGTGGCTTATTCCCAGGATGCAAAGACGGTTCATCATATGCAAATCAATCAATGTGATACACCATATTAACAGAATGAAGGGTAAAAACCATATGATCATTTCAATTGAGGATGAAAAAATATTTGATAAAATTCAATATTTCTTTATGATAAAAACCCTGAAAAAACTGGGTGTAGAAAGAACATATCTCAACATAAAAAAAAGCCGTATGTAACATACCCACAGCTAGTATTACACTGAATAAAGAAAAACTGAAAGCTTTTCCTCTAAGATCTGGAAGAGGACGAGGATTATGACTTTCACCACCGTTATTCAACATAGAACTGAAAGTCTTAGCTAGAGCAATCAGACAAGAAAATAAAATGAAGAGCATCCCAACTGGAAAGGAAAAAGTACCATTATCCTGGTTTGCAGGTGATACCATCTTATATTTGTAAAAAAACTAAAGGCTTCACTAAAAAACTATTAGAATTGATAAATTCAGTAAAGTTGCAGGATACAAAATCAACATGCAAAAATCAGTAGCATTTCTATATGGCAACAGTGAACATGGTGAAATACAAAAAAATTAGCTGGGCATAATGGTGAGTGCCAGTAATCCCAGCTACTCTGGAGGCTGAGGCAGGAGAATTGCTTGAACCTGAGGGGTGCAGGTTGCAGTGAGCTGAGATCATGCCATTCCACTCCAGCCTGGGTGGCAGAGTGAGACTCTGACTCAAGAAAGGAAAGAAAGAGAGAAAGAGAGAGAGAGACAGAAAGAAAGAAAGAAAGAAAAGAAAAGAGAAATGATGTGTGATATCATTAGTCGTCAGGAAAGTACAAATCAAAACCAAAACATGATACTACTTCACACTTTTTACAGTAACTATAATCTTCAAAAACACACAATAACAAGTGTTGATGAGGATGTGGAGAAATAGCAACATTCATACATTGCTGGTGGGACTAGAAAATGGTGGAGTCATTGTAGAAAATAGTGTCAGTTTCTACTAGAGTTAAACATCGTTGCCATGTGACCCAAAAATTCCACTTCCACGATTATACCCAAGAGAACTGAAAAGTAGTCACATAAAAATTTGTAGATGAATTCCCATGGCAGCATTATTAATAATTAATAAAAACAAGCACATCTTGGAAGAAAGGAACCTTGATCTATACTTTGCATGGAGCAAATATTAATCAATTTGAACAATAAACCTTAACCTAGATGCTAAACCTATGCAGCTTCTAGGGAAGGACATCACAGACAGAACATTTTTGCAGTCTTGGAGAAGGCAAAATTTCTTAGACACAATAATATTCCATTTAAAAGGGAAAATGGATATATTTGATACCATCACACTTCAAAACTTCTGCTCTTCTGAATACACTATCATTAAAAAAATGAAAAAAAAAAACCTCAAGCCACACACTGGGAGAAAATTTCACTCCTAGGTATTTATCATGGATAATTAAAAATATATGTTATTGCGCCTGGTACTGGAATTTATGTGATATCTTAATTTGCAATTGCTCAACTGAGAACACCAAATGCTCGTCTATCAGCAGAAAAATGGAAGAACAAGTAGGAAGACTCAAACAATACAATGTTATTTGACAATAAAAAGAATGAACTGCTGAAATATACGAAAACAATGAATCTCAAACATTGAACAATGGCCAGACACAAAAGGTGATGTTATTATATGATTTCATTATGTAAGGATTAAAAAAGCAAGTTACGAGTTTCTATGTCAGTAAACATTTGCCCCTGAAGGGCTTGCAGGGAATTTGAAAGGGGCCTAAGACAAGATGAATGTTCCATATGCTCATCTAGGGGTCGTGCAACCACATGTATGTGTTTGTCAATCTCGTCCAAACAGATATATAAGATCTGTGCATTTCTTTGTATGTATTTTGCCTCCATTTCAAAGGAGGCAAATAATGTCCATTATGTCAAATAATAAGACATAATAAAAGATTGTCTTATTATTATTATTATTTCCAAATTTGTTGTCATTCTGGCACTTTTCATTGAGCATTTGGGCTGGGATCATCTCACTCAATATACCTAAGGATCTGTATGAGATGGTTATTATTATCCCCTCATTAAGAGGCAGGAGGTCAGTATCAGAGATCTGCTGCCCAAGACTATACAAGTGATAGGAACCAAAGTTCATGCTAATTATACTACTGCACACAGCATTTATAACTCTGGCTCTTTTGCTTGTTTGCATGTCAATTTATGTTTCCTTCCCCCTGCAATCAGCAACGTGTCAGGGAAAACTGTTTAATGTGTTTCTGTCCAAACATAGAGGAGAGAATCTGTTCAGCAGACTGTAGCAGGTAATTCTAACTTTCCTGATAGGCTTCTAAGCCCATCATAACCTCTCCTCTCTAACTGCTGGGCTTGGAACATTAAGCAGGTGGCTGAATACAAGGTCTCTACGCTCTTGGGAAGGTAGCAGTGAAGAGAGATAGAGTTCTCATGCCACTATGACAAAGTCTCTAATCACACACCTACAGGCAACATTAAGACCTGATAGAGAAGATATTTCTTTCTCTCTTTCTTTTCTTCCTTCCTTTCTTCTTTCTTCTCCTTCCTTCCTTCTTTCTTCTCCTTCCTTCCTTCTCTTTTTCTTTCTTTCCTTTCTTTCTTCCTTCTTTCTTTCTCTTCCATCTGGAAACAGTACTTTGATTGTACATACAAGGCAAACAAAAAACAATAAATTGTTTGCTGGAGTCATACAGCCAAAGAAGGAGAACTAAAAGAAGAATTTATGATAAGCAGTTGCTAGTTCTCTACAATTTCTTCTTCACCAGGCTGTTGTAGCACAGGGGCCATTCAACTGTATATTGTGTGCTACATGTGTGTGAGAAGTGGAGGTGGGTACCTGTAGGCCCACAGCCACATACATATTTCTCGGCTGATCTATACTAATTCTTAGCAGTGACATATTTGGTAGATTTCATGACTTCGTAATACACACCCCACTGCCTAGCTGTGGTGATGGACAAACATAGCTACACCTATTCTTTTGGCTTTTTTGATGGAGCTGACCCACTGACTTGCAAGTCATTGAATAGCTTAGGGAGTGATTCACTTTCCCTGGAAGACATCAATGACTCTTAAATACCCTTATGGCTCCTTGGTTGTTGGTAGGTGAGGTCCAGGCTAACCCCCCTGGGCCTATATGATCAATGGTTTTGAGGGTGGGCAGCAATGCCAATCTCTGCTCTGAGTAGGCCTGTGTTGTTCTGAACCATTCATGCCCATCTGACCTATTCTGGCCCTACCAAATTTATTCTAACAATGGACCTCATGAGACACCATCTTTAGGGCCTTCCTTCCTTCCTTCCTTCCTTCCTTCCTTCCTTCCTTCCTTCCTTCCTTCCTTCCTTCCTTCCCTCTCTCCCCTTTTCCTTTCCTTTTCTTTATGAGATGGTTATTATTATCCCTTCATTAAGAAACAGGAGTTCAGTATCAGAGATCATGCTACCCAAGACTATGCAAGTGGTAGGAACCAAAGTTCCTGCTAACTATACCACAGCACACAGCATTTATGACTCTGGCTTTTTTGAATGTCAATTTGTGTTCCCTCCCCCATGCAATCAGCCGCATGTCAGGGAAAACTGTGTAATGTATTTCTGTTCAAATATAGTGGAGAAAATCTATTCAGCAGATTCCGTACCGTTCCTTTCCTTTCATTTCTCTCTTTCTTTCTCTCTTTCTTTTTGCCTGCCTTCCTTTTTTCCTTCCTTCCTTCCTTCCTTCCTTCCTTCCTTCCTTCCTTCCTTCCTTCTTTCAACCGCTACAGTACTGAGTCACCATGTACTATGAAGATTGCTGTATCAGTTTCTCATGTGCAGGGTTGGAACTAGAATCCAAATCTCTTATTCTTAGGCTAGTGATTTTTTTACTCCCCTATGTTGGCCTCTTCTCCTGGAGGTTTGACTTTCTCTAAAAACTTTTTTAAAATAGAGGGGAAAAAGGCAGCATAGGCAGCAGAATTTCCATTACGAAGACACCACTTCTCTCAAGATTCCTTTGGCTGCTCCTTTGGTCTTTCCATCCACCCGTGAATTTTAACCCACTTGCCCTTACCAGAGTGGTGGAGATTTAACCTATCACCTTTGGTGTAATTGCACCTTAGATGCTGTAGGAGTAGGACATTCTTAAGCTAAGTGAAGGGATGTGCTACTGTGGAATTGACCACCAGCAGATCAGGGACTTTCCCAGGGCCTGTTGCAATACATTTTCTCTTGTCTTTCTGGGATATTGTTAGTTCCTGGGGTCTTAGTACCAGGGTCACGAGAGCCTTTAGGGTTTGCCTCAGGTGGTAGGCATGTGACTGGTAGAGTAACAGCACCCTGTTTTTAGTGTTGGGTTTCTATCAATACAACTAGAAATGTGGCTTTGATTACTATTCTCCCTAATGCTCCAAAAATATCCCTTTGTTTTCTTTCAAAACCATTTGTATTAGAAATGTTCCCTCAACCTCCTAAGCCACTAGGAATCCAAAGAACACAGGAGTCAAAAGCAGATGAAGCAGAAAATGATCTCTTTATTGGAAATGTGAAGGGCCTTCAGGTTTAGGAAGCCTAATTCAAGGAAGCATGATCAAGAATCTAAAACTACACAGGAGTCTGCATCCGAGAAACATCACAGGATTTGCTGAGGTCAAGTGACACCTAGAGAGAAAGAAGAGAATCAGCGATGTTAGGGTAATAAGAAGTGAAGGGTGAGGATGGTAGCTGCACCCCCTGTCCCCTTCGGCTCCAAACCTGCCAGCCTCCTATTACTAGGATGCCAGGCCACTAGCTGCCAGCTGGGGCCATTGTTTCTGCTGCTTGCCCTCTCTTCAAGTGCAGTGTTACTTATTGCAAAGAGACAGGGAAGCACCATTACCCATCTCAGGGCTTCAGTTTTCCTCTCCTGACACTGCAAACATCCAACTGGCCCATGAGATCCCTCACCATCTCTTGTGCCTCCCTTTCCATCTCCTTTCACAACATGAACAGGGATCTTTCTACACATCTCGTTCCTGTATTCTGAGAGGGAGGACTGCTAGTCTTTGGGCTTGTGGTCTCCAAAGGAATATAGATGAAACCTAACAGGGATGCAAGAACATTTATTGGTGTGCAGAAAGAAAATATTAACTGCTGTCTTACTTCATACTATATAGGAAAGAAATTCAGGTTTACTAACCTAAAGTATAAGAATTGACAAGAATATACCATAAAATTATAAATATGCATATGTAGCCAGTACATATAAAAAAAAACCTTTAGCAGGTAGGCATGTATAAAAGTATTACTGATGAATACTCAACTAAGGATAGGAATTCTAGGACCTCATGACAGGCCAGACATCCTTGTCTGCCACTACCAGATCCTCTCCTCACCAGGGAATGGTGAGGCTCATCTTACTACCACTTGTAATACAGCACTTCTATTGGTGTGAACAATGGTTATCAATCCCACAAAAGTCCTGGAGAGTTCCTAATAGTCCTAAACATTGGGAGAGGTATTACCCTGATTTGCTTAAAAAAAAAATCGTACCTTGATATTGGGCCATCTTTTCACCTGGTTACTGCATGGTAGGTTTATGTAAATATTGAGTTTTGGTTGTTGTCGTGATGTTGTGTCAAACGATGATCATTGTCAGCTTCATGCTCTATGATTACAATATCCAATCCCCCATGAGATCCGTGTTGGCGTCTGCCTTTTTGGTCACAACTGAGTAGGTCTTTTTCTCTGTCTGCAGATTGGCCAGACTTTCCTTTTGCTTCTTGGCCAGACCATTGATCTTGACTAGGAGTTGTTACCTGTTTTTGAGACTTGTCATGTATTTTATCTTCAGTTTGGTTAGAAGTACTGCCTTTGGATGCATCTTTCTGTATGCCCTTTTCTCCATGATTAAGTGGTCTTTCTTCTGTACTTGAACATTGGCAGGACCTGTTATGTGCCTTCTGGCCATGCTCTTGATCTTGATTGGGATTTCTTGTCTGGTTTTGATTCTTGGAAAAAACGTCTTTGGATCCACATTGGAGTCTGTCTTCTTGTGCAGAACAGAGTGGGGTTTGCACTTTACTTGAATGTTTCTGTTTCGTTTCATTCACATTTGGGGAACTCCCTTTATTTTGAAGAGAATTTTGAGTCTCAGGTTTTTTGTTATGTACTGGATCTTCAGTTTGGAGGACAGGACTACTTTGGGATCCACCTTGTGTTCTATTTCTTTGTGTACCAGAGACTGAATCTTGTTCTTTACCTAGTCCAAGAGCCAGTAGGCTTTCTTTTGTGTTTGAATCTTGACTGGATATTCCCTTTCCAGATGTGCTATTTCCCTGATCTTGAGAAGGATTTTGTGTCCCATGAGGAGCGTGGCCTCCTTTATGGTGTATAATTAACACATGAAAATCACCTTTTGATTTACCATGTTCTCTGCTTTCTTGCTTGTGATTGAATGGTTCTTGACTTCCAGCTGCATGTTTTTCTGATTTTATCGTTTTATTTTGGGCATTCAAGTCATATTGCTTACTTTTTCGGGTCTGGTCATGACCGTGGACGTCTACATGATATATGTGTTCAATATAAACACTGCCTTTGGATTCAGCATGCTGTTTGTCTTTTCGTGCTGAATATTGCTGGCCCTTTTGTTCATGTGGAAATTGGGAAGATTCACTTGGTAATTGGCCTTTTGATCCACCTGGTAATTGATAATAGAAATGTATGCATTCCTTCTCTCCAAAGCTCCCTTGCAATGCCTACCTCCCACCCTTTCCCAGCAAACTGCTGATGTTTCTGGAAAGGCTGAAGCTTTGGATGGAGAAAATCAATTCTCTTCAACGAGAAGAATCTGTGTCTGAACAGGTTGCCGTTTGCACCCTGAATACCCTTAGAGGCCATTCTGCCTGAGCAGCTTTCCCCAAGGCTTACCCTCTCCACTCACCTTTTTGTCCCATCACAGCTGCTTGCTTCTCCAGGATGAGGAGCAGGGAAAGTACGAAGAAGATGATGGGCTTCATCTTGCTTGGAAAACCTTGTCTGAGAGTCGAGTGGACCTTGTCATTTATATTTTCCTTGAGTGCTTGTGCCACGGGTGGAACTTAAATTATGAAAGGTCTTGCCTTTTCTTAGCTTATCAGTAAATGGAAACTTCCTCACCCCTGCTGAGTATGAGGTAGTCAATGTCCCCAGTGACATAATGTCAAAGGCATTTTCTTTCTTCTGGAAGCCACAGCAAATGTTTATGAGTCCTTGTAGATTATCATGCCAGATCACTTGCATTTTATGGAACTATAGACAAAAGCAGGAAAGAGACTAACTTCAGGTTACAAAGTGATTGGTTTCTGAGAATGCCTTTATATTCTAAATGTGAGTTTTCCTTTATGGTATAATAATTTAAATACTCTAGATAGAACTCCATACTTTTTTTTGTTTTAAAAATGATCTTGAGACACATTCTATTTTACCTAAGAATGAGCAATCATAGCTGTTGGATGGCATAGAATATAATGAAACATTATGGAATCCAAAGAAGGAAATTTTAAACAAGTAAATGGGGCATACCAATGTCAAATATGTCTGTCAGTTCATCACAATAAAGACTGACATGTGTCCAAAGTTTTTCTTAGTTGTTGCTAGTAACGTTAATGAAAGAGAAATACAATTGTGTTGGGTTTTCAGTTGAAGGATAGAGACCAGCTGTAAGCTTCTCAGGAAGTCTGAATTCATGGTGGAATGAGAGCTGAGGCTGTAAGCTCCAGATATGTTTACAAAGGTTGAGAGAATTGTAACATGTTTTCATGGTGGTAGCAACAATTATTAGAAAAAGAGTCAAAATGCTGGTTTCTAAATTGGGTTCTCTTCATGAACTCTACCTAAACAGCAGAATATATTTTTTTAATTAAAAAAGGTTTCTACTTCAGTAGTAAACAGCTATATCCCCCAACAAGCTGTGAGAAATATTTGCCACCATCAGTGAATTCAATAACGTGTTGTGAATGGACATGAAGCTAAAATTCCCACCATTGGTAGAAGCATAGATTTTTCCAGTTGTGACGACGTCCTGAAGAGTTCAAATAAACTTTCTTTACTTTGAGTCATGAAGACTTTGTTACGAGCACACCACAGGAGAAGAAGAAAGCATCCCAACAGTGTCCCTGTGCACATTCAGAACACCTTGGAGGGTAGTTTTGGGGAAAGGATAGCTTGAAAATTCATTTTCAATTATTCTATATTAAAGTCTTAACCTTCCTGTAGGCAACGCTCTATGGAGGGGAAAAGGAAAGGCCAGCCACGGAAAAAAGTGCTATGCTATCAAATATAAATCATGTGAGCTGCATGGTTTCTCCATGAGCCACTCTGAGATCTTACCAAATTTATCTGTTTGCCTCAAAGGCAGTAAGTAGTTCCTTATTGCAGAAACTCGAAAGAGTAGGGTGATGTTATCCCGAACTAAAATTGATTACCCTGGCAACATAATGTCAATGGCATTTTGTCAAAGGCATTAGTGTCTGCTAACCACTGTAATCTTTCTCATGCTTCCAAATCTGGAAACCATCATTCTCAGTAAACTGACACAAAAACAGAAAACCAAACACTGCATGTTCTCGCTCATAGGCAGGTGTTGAACAATGAGAACACATGGGCACAGGGAGGGGAACATCACACACTGGGGTCTGTTGGGGGATGGGGGGCTAGGGGAGGGACAGCGGGAGTTGGGGAGGTTGGGGAAAAATAACATTGGGAGAAATGCCTGATGTAGGTGACAGAGGGATGGAGGCAGCGAACCACCATGGCACGTGTGTACCTATGCAACAATCCTGCAAGATCTGCACATGTACCCCAGAACTTAAAGTACAATTTAAAAAAAAAGAAAAACAAAATACCAGGAGCTGTTCTGTTCCGTGCTTACTGATAGAAAATAGAGTTTGAAATGTCAGTCTTACTTACGGATTAGGAGCCAAACTTTCATCTTATCTAGTGTCCAAAAGATACAGATAAAAAAAAGGGGGTCACAATATTTGCAAAAACAAACCAGGAAAATGCAATCCAAGCATAACGTGATTATTAAATTTATATTAAAACTGAATTCAATAAAATGTGGGAAAAACGCATTTCCAAATAGCCACGGGGGTAGTAGGGAGTGATGCAAATTCTATAAAATTTCTTGGTTATTGACAGCCTTAGCGTGTTGGCTTCCTCGAACGCTGGTTATAGTAGTACTGAACTGGTCACTTGTACAGAATCAGGACTACTTAGTTAGTCAGAGTGGTATAGGCAGTGGTAATAGCTGAGATTGCTCAGCCATTTTCTCCTTCCTAGGCGCAGCGTTAATCCACTGGGAGATGCTGTAATTGTGTTGATTGGCTGTGTTGATTGGCCTCCAGCCAGGAGATGGCGCTTGCAAAAGAGCACCAGCTACGGTAGCAGAAGTGGGATTTTTCGCTTGCTTTATGTTGCCTGGGTTTCTCAGGCAGTAGGTGGGGTCATGTAGCTTCCAAGAGTTTCTGGTTTCTCAGAAACTCTGGTTTCTCATGCAGTAGAGGGGGCTCTATAGCTTCCAAGAGTTTCTGTTTTTTGGGGGGTTAAACTACCAGGGCAGGTGGCAGAACAAAACCAGGCAGGTTTGCACTCTGAGTCTTCACACTCAGGGAGTGCAGCAGCCCATGTGGGTGCTGAAGGGACAGGAACAGTTCTCAGGCCACTGGGTTGATGTTCCAGAGGGACTGTTGCTGAATGGCTGTAATTTCAAAGTCAAGAAACAACAGATGCTGTGAGGCTGTGAAGAAAAGAGAGTGCTTATATCCTGTTCCCCTTTGGTTGGTTGGTATGAAAATTAATGCAGCCCCACTATGGAGAACAGTTTGGAGACTTCTCAAAGAAGATAAAACAGAGCCACCGTTCAACCCAGCAATTCCACTAATGAATATATACCAAAAGGAAAATAAATCATTCTACAAAAAGGACACCTGCAGTCATGTTCATTGCTTTCCTATGCACAATAGCAAGGACATGGAATCAACATAGGTGCTCATAAATGGCAGATTATTTAAGGAGAATATAACATGTATACACCATGGAATACTACGCAGCCGTACAAAGAATGAAATCCTATCCTTTGCAGCAACATGAATGCAGCTGGAGGTTATAATCCTAAGCAAATTAATGCAGGAACAGAAAGCCAAATACCACATGTTTTCACTTGTAAGTGGGAGCTAAACACTGAACACACACTGACATAAACATGGGAACAATAGACACTGCAGGCTTCTAGAAGGAGGAGAGAGGGAAATGGGCATGGGTTGAAAAACTATCTATTGGATACTATGCTCACTACCTGGATGATCGGATCTGTACCCCAAACCTTAGCATCGCACAATATGCCCATGTAGCATGTACCCCCGTACCTAAAATAAAATTTGAAAAAAGTGGTCAAACTATATAAAAATGTTTAAGTTGTGAGGTAAAACCAGCCACAGATAAAGTAACAGAAATTGGAATACATTAATAAACATATACCAGATAAAGGATGAATCATAGCATATTGAAAAAAATTCTTCAATATAATAAAGAAGAACACATCATCTAATAAAGAATGTAAGAGATGAGTAGCACCAGGTATTTAGAGAAATTATAATACCAACAGTTAATGCATATATGAAAACAATGATAGCTTCATTCATAGTTCAAGAAATGCAAGTTAAATAAAATATAATTTGTCTTTTCACAAATGAGACTGATTTCCCAGTAATGATTCTGGACAAGTTCCTTCTATCTCCCACCTCAGTTCTAGTTATTGTAAGACGAGAAAATGGGACTATGTAGTCTCTTGAAGTCCTTGCTGTGGCGAGAAGAACTAGCAGATTAAGCAAAGCCCTCTGCCTGGTGAAGAGAACATTTGCAAGAGCACAACACAGAGCACATGAGGTTGGGATCACTGTGCGTGGGGACACCAAAGTAGTACAGAAGACCTCAAGATAATGGCTGATTTGATATTCTGTAACAAGTGTTTATTCATCTTAAGTTTTAAATGGTTCCAAAAATTGAAGTTTCTTTGATCTTCATGGCCCTCTCATATCTGTGGTTTATTTGTTTGTTCCTTGGTTTGTCAAACAAATAGTTTGTATTTGATTGCAAATTATCTCCCAATCCTATGGGGTTTATTCATTTATTCATCTGAATATGTGATATTTTCACATGGCTCTACAGTTAGATTTGTGCATAAAGGTATAGTCCGAGAAGAAACAGATATCCATCCCCATTCTCTCTTTCCTTTCTACCAATTCCTGACCACATCCTATAGGTACAACTCTCATTGGTCTCTGGGTTTTTCCTTTCCTTTTTTTTTTTTCTTTTTGCAATGAGTAAGTAAAGAGATATTTTCTTATTTTGCATTCATTATTACAGGACACTTTCAATTTATCATTCCACAGTGTATTTACAATTAACATACATCCGCTCATGGACAGCTTCCATGTTCCTTAGAATAGCTGCTTAGTACCTCAGTTTACAGTTGTACTACTATTTATACAATCACTCTTTTCTGTATGGGTATTTTGGTTGTTTCCAACATTTTTCAGTCATAAACAATGCTGAAATTAATATGTCTACTGTAATTCCACACTTTGGCTTATTGTTCTGTTGGTCTGGAATTTCTATTATAACCCTACCCTTTCACCCAGGGTCAGGCCGAGCTGATGGAACAATGGTTTTATGAGAAAGACTCCTACCTCTTCTTGTCTTGGTCTACATCCTATGGAAAGAAAAATGACTTGAAATCAAGACTGATCATTTTCATTTTCAGCTTTATTCCTTAATCCTAAGCAATATTCCTCTTTGTTAGATAAGGGTAATTTTCCAGGATATGTTACCAGGTATTTCTACTCCAAATTCAATGGAAGATTATAGCTCAGGACATTTATCACAAGCTGGAAAGAATTCAGTGCCTGGCTTGGCCTGACTCCTGGGCACTCTGTGATCCTAGGGACAGACACACATGGCTGGCTAGAACTGAGTCAGCAAGGCCCTGAAGAGTGGCTCCAGTGTGTCTGAGGTCATCTGTGATGCTCACTGCTCTACCCCTGGGGTGCATCCGGAACCTGGAGAGATGCTA